CCATGCCCGACCAAGTTTATAGAGGTTTCAGACATCTCGAAGATGCAGATTCTCATATGGATTTACACTCTGCCTCTTACCAACATTTTCTTACCTGTAGCCCTGCTTGCTTTAGTGTAGGCTTGAAGAAAAGCATTGCTACTGAGGCAGCTATAAGAAACAGCTATTTCTTCCCAAAGAAAGGAACTCATCTTTAAGGCACCTTCAAATTAATTATGCTTTTCCTTCTGATTTTAAGGTGGAGTCAACCTAGACGGTGTTTTATTTATCAGCTCTTAGGGACTCTCAGAACTTAGCTTCCCAGTTCAAACATTTCCGTTAGGATGTACCCGCTGGCTTTGTGTGGGTTCCATCCCAGAGCCCATCATTTGCCAGTATGTATGGAGCATATGCTTTGAATCAAGGCCACTGGTGCAAGGGGCTCATCTTGGCAGTAATATCCCAGAAACTGAACCTTTTCTATTCTCCCATCTTGGCTCCTCAATGGGGTATCGAGCATCTCGGCTGCTGAGCCCGGGCCCTCAGCCCCTTGTATATCTCTTTAAAGAGGAGGCCCAGTGCCTTTATTTGGGTCAGAACTTTCCCTTCTTGGCATGTTTCTGGACTACATGCATACCGGCAGCTATTGATAAATCTGCGAAACTCAATCACTCACCTGTGACCTCTGGGAGGGGAGTAGTATTTGTTTTAAAAAGGCATTGTTTCTTTGGGAGGGCAGTTTCTGTCTGGACTAGAAGGGGGTGCAGTTATCACACATACTTCCTTCGCCCCAAAGTACTTTACCTTTCAGCTTTCAATAAAAGATGAAAACAGATTTGGAGGCAATTCTTTAGAATGCTTGTCACCCAGGGGGATTTCCTGTTCTAGTAATCATTTTCCAGTTGAGTATTGGAGTTTCCTTGAGGCAAGCTCCCAGAAATTTTTTACTGAAGACTAAGGATGATTGATACATACCTATTTTTTCAAACAATCATTCATGTCACCTTTCTCAGCTTCTGGAATGCACATTTCTTTGTGCTGGTCCTGGAAGTTGATACCTTTTGGGAAAGCTTAGATTTAGGAGGTCTTTCAAGGTCTTGTTCACATGGTCTGTGGTTTCTCTTTGCCTAACCTCTGCCTGAAGCCCTGGCAGACCATACTGTACATGCTGATGGAAAATACTATGAAGATGAAAATACATTTTCGGGAGTATTTAAACTCTTAACTCTGCCACCTTTCTATGAGTGGGAGGCGGGCTGAGAGATGCTGCAATGCTTGATAATCATTTAGCCATGCTGAAATTTGCAACGGGAACTCTTGTCGGTGCTTAAAACCAGAATTCCTGGACACTTCAAACTTGGAGAATTCCATGAATCTAGCACAGAATAGCCATACTTGCCCATTGCCATCCCTTTCTCTCCATCTTAATCTTTAAAAAGAAAAAGGCAAAGCCCCAGCCGAGGGTAATTTTTACTTGAAACCAGGAGAGTGGGGGAGGAACACTGTAGAGATAAAGGGCGAGCTGTCCGGTCAGCCATCCTGCTCCTGCTGCGAGTCCAAATCACTGAGTACTGTGAGCCAGTGCCTTTCCTTCACCTGAAGGTGGAGCCCGTCTCCCTCCCTCGGTGAGGAGACCCTGTGCTACCCAGGGTAAACCTTAGAGAAGGTGGCTTAGAGAGCCCGGTGGACACTCACATATTCCGTGTCCATTTTAAGCATCTTTAAAATATTTTAGACATTCAGAAATGTCCTTCCCTGTCTTAGCGACACCAGTGGCCCAATTCCATCTATTCTGAATGGAAAGCAGAGACTGCCAGTTCTTTGATCTCCCCTTCATCCCCTTGATGTGGCTGACCCTGACCCCTCATCCATTTCACTGTCATGGATGGATAGCAGAGGGCACCATGTAGTCCTGAGGCAGTCCTGTGTGATTCTGTGATCAGTTGTTTTGGGTTTGGGTTTTTTGGTGGTGTTTTTTTTGTTTGTTTTTTTTTGGTCTAATTGTCCTTTCAAACCAGCAGGTGTTTGGAAATTAGTGAAAAAATAAATTCTCACCAATGGTTGCTGTTACAGTTAAATCAATAAAGATCTTGGATATCAACTTGGTGTTCTATTTAATTTTTTAAGTTTTCAGGTGAAATCCTGTTGGTTTCACATTCTGGGAGTCTTGGCTGATGAGGGAGATGGGCAAAGGCAGTTGGCCACTTCATGTGTCTGTTCTTCCTGCACTTAGGGAGCGCCAACTTTGTCCATCTACTCTGTATGTGCAGGGAGCGCCGACTTTGTCCATCTACCCTGTATGTGCAGGGAGCGCCGACTTTGTCCATCTACCCTGTATGTGCAGGGAGCGCCAACTTTGTCCATCTACCCTGTATGTGCAGGGAGTGCCAACTTTGTCCATCTACCCTGTATGTGCAGTTAGTGCCGACTTTGTCCATCTGGCCCTGTATGTGCACGGCGGTGATGGGTCCCTTCCTGCAGCAGCTTGGGGGCAAAGGGGTACATGCTGGGGCTGGATGTACAAGAAAACTAGGTGCCAACCATGAGGAAGCCCAAACAGCTCTTGCTGAAGAGGGCTGCCTCTGCCTCTCAGCACTTGTTAGGAATCCATCATATCTGATGTCTTAAAATAGACCAGGCTGTGCTGCATAGCAGCGGATTCCTTGCTATTATTAATCTAGTGAGGCTCACACATTAGTATTGAGAACAAGTATTCTTTCACGCTTCAGATGCAGTGAAGTCCGCTGAATAAAACTGGACTTGAGATGTGTTCCCGTCAGAACAGCCTAGAGCAGCGGTCGCCGACCAGTGGTCTGCGGACTACTACTGGTGGTCTGTGAGGTCCGAAAGGTTGGCGACTGCTGGCCCAGAGGGTTAGCTCAGGCTGTGGAGTAAGGCCAGATTCCAGCTGCATTCCTGCCAATAGGAGTCTCAGCCCTGGTTTCCTTCTCTAGTGTAGGGTTAAGATCATCTTTCCTAGGTGCTTTGAGGCTCAGGTAAGATTGGAGTTCAGTAAAGGACTCAAGCACAGCTCAGTTGACTCCCGAGTGAGCAAGTTTGGGAATGATCAGGACAAGACTTTAAGGCAGTGGTTCTCAACCTTTCTAATGCCACGACCCTTTAATACAGTTCCTCATGTTGTGGTGACCCCCAACCATTAAATTATTTTTGTTGCTACTTCATAACTGTAATTTTGCTACTGTTATGAATCATAATGTAAATATCTGATATGCAGGATGTATTTTCATTGTTACAAATTGAACATAATTAAAGCATAGTGATTAATACAAAAACAATATGTAATTATATATGTGTTTTCCGATGGTCTTAGGCGACCCCTGTGAAAGGGTCGTTCGACCCCCAAAGGGGTCGCGACCCACAGGTTGAGAACCGCTGCTTTAAGGAAAGATGGGGCCGAATCATTTTGAAGGCCCTTTCATACGCACTTTACTCTGCCCCAAAGGCAAGTAAGATATTAACCTCAAAGGCAACTCAGGGTATAGGGGTAAGGGTTTTGCTGCTAATAAAAGAGGCTTTACAAAATGGAGATCAACTCGACTATGGTGCTATGTGAATCACATCTGTGTTTCTGCTTCTCCTCTTTGTCTTTTCTCCACCCCTACCTCCTGCCGGGCCCACCCACTTCCCCAGCCAAGGAGAACAGTGCATCCGATTTTCCCCACTCACCTGCTGACTTGCACTGCTCTAGAAACAGTGGAAGTAGGCCTTTGCCTTCAGAGCAAGTTAAAGTACCCCTGACTGTTCTACAGAAGCCCCTTCCTGCCCCCCAGGTTAGGACAGGACTCCGTTCTCAGGAGGGAGTATGTCCTCCAACTTAGAAAGCATTCACCAGCACACAGGCGCAACCATGGAGCTGTGTTGCTAGGCTCGGCCCTAAATACCTCTGGCCAGACAGCAGGATGTCCCTGGGGCTGACACCGAACCGAGCTTTCAGCAGGGGGTCAGCAAAAGGTAGCTTCACTCGTTTGTGCCTGCGTCTTCTGCTTGATAGGAGGCGATGCCTTGTCCTCAGTGAGGTTTGTTCTCTGAGTCAGAGCTGCTAAGGAGACACTCCCACAAGCTGTGGCTGCAAATAGCTTGACCTTCTGCTTTCCTGGCCCCAGCCATAGAACTACTGGGCACCTACTTAGTCAAGATGCTCTGAAGTCCTGAGATGGGATTTTCTCTCCCAAGAAATTCAGTTCGGTAGTGGAAGTAGAATTCTAGTTCCAAAGCTAGGGGAGCAAAGACCTCTAAGTACTATTAAGCACAGTGCCCCTGGGGCTGCAGACCAAAGTCAGGTCTGGGTCCTGCCACTCCTAACTGTGTGGTCAGGCCACTAGGCCTCCCTGGGGTCTCATTTAGGAAAGAGAATGGGACAAAAACTGACCTGACGAGGCCCTCCCAGCTAAGTGGAATCAGATGCAGAATCCCATTGTGAGCCTGCAGCGTGGGTAGGGCGGGTCTGTTCCCACTCCAGGAAACGAGCAGCTGGGTCAGCTTTGTGCTGAGTCAGGGCATTGAGGCGTCTCAGGCCCAGGCCTGGCTCTAGCCTCGCCAACCCTGCCTGGGCCAGGATTACTACCTTGACCCAACCAAGGCTGCATGTCTAAACTCAGCAAGGTCCTCGAATGCTTGGGATCACTTCCCAAAGGCTGGGCTTCTTGGTGAGGCAGGGACAGACTGACGGTGGACTCATTCCCAACAAAATGGCCCCTTGCCCTGCCAAACAAAAATACATAGCCCATCCTAGCCAGTTTGGCTCAGTGGATACAACATCCGCTCTTGGTCTGAAGGGTCTCGGGTTCAATTCCCGGTCAAGGACACGTACCTCAGTTGCAAGCTGGATCCCGACCCTGGGGTGCGTGCGGAGGGAACCAGTCTCTCCCCCTCCTTCTCTAAAAAATTAAAGGAAAAATGTCCCAGGTTGAGGATTAACAAATATATATATATATATATATATATAGAGGATTAACAAATAAATATATTTCCCCCGTTTTGGCAGTGCTGATAAGGAAATGCAGAATTGCTGCCTTTGGGGTCTTTTCATCCAGAAGGCAGACTTGTGTTTGGTGGGAGAGCTCCCTACGAGAAAGCTATGTTCCTTTTGCTGTGCTGCTGTGAGAAACCTGAAGTTAAGGCAATCTTAGAACCCTGGGCAGCAAAAGCTGATAAAGGACAGATAACGGGATGGCAGGGCCTGGCTTAGCCGGCTTTGTAGGGAGATGGGATAAAGCCTGACTTACAGCTCTGGAGCCTTCCAACAGACATTTCACAGGAATGCACTAGGATCCACCTGCTTTCATGTCACAGGATGAGGCTGAGTAGTGAATTATTCACTTGAGGGACAAGGGTCACACAGCTGCTCAGTGGCTGAGCTGTGACCACAGCCCAAATCTGCCACCCTGGGCAGGGCCTTCACCCCTATGGATAGGAAGCTCAGGGCCGCATTGATAGCACGCATTAAGAGACGGAAGTGAACTGTCACCAACTTTAATAGACTCGGGGGTGGGGGGTGTCTGAGGGCCCCAGCTGCTGTAGTCCAAAGTGGCTAGTTCTCTGGGACGAGTTCCTGCCTCTCCCTTCAGAGGCACCAGCAGGCCTAGAAGGACTATACAGTGGCTTTATGACTGTACAACTCATTAGCAGAGATCCACTTCAGGAAGCCTGGACAAGGCCAACAGATGGCTCCTGGCCAGCCGGAAAGACGTGGGCCCCTCACCCAGCCTGAGGCACCCGGAGCCAATTGACTCAGTGATGCTTAATCTTGGGGGTGGGGGTGGCAAAGACCACTTTCGAGAATACATAAAAGTTATAGACAACCTTGTCCCACCTCAAAAACACGTATGTGCCCCAACTTTCGCATACGATTTCCGGGAGTGCACAGGTTTAAAAAGGCAGGTAAGGTCTCTTCATTAGTGCTTTCACTCGCCACTGTCTGTCCAGTGAAGGGAAAACCCAGCCAGGCTGCTTCACAGGCTCCCCCTCCCTCTCCTGACCGCCTCTGTTTAGCCAGCCTCGAGGGCCCGCGTTTGCAGGGCGGACAGCCTCCTCCTCTCGCCTGGTGGACAGTGCAGCCTTCCATTTATTTCTTCCGCATTGGATCGGATGGTCATGTCTTCCAGGAGCCTCCCAGCCTTCCGGGAACAGGCAAATCCAGCGCCCCTCCAGCACCTCAAAGGCACCCACACTCTTCCACAATCATGTCCTTATGATGGTCTAGAAGGACTCTGCCATTGTCCACATACAGCATGCTCAAGGGCCTGGTCTTCACAGGGGCACAGCAGGTGGAAGGGACGCGGTGGGGCTGGTACCGTTTCAGCAGACTCTGAAAGGGAGGAGACGGGTCAGTTCAACATTCGGGTCAGAATAGGTCATTTCTAGGTAAAGGGTGAAAAAGATACTGAGTCTAGATCAGTGACTGGGTTCAAAAATAGAAGGAAACTGTTTTCATAAAGGAATCAGCATGCCAATACATCATCGACTCTAACTTCTAAAATCACTTGTTTTCTTAAAGCATCTTTTAAACAGAAGATTCTAAAAGCTGTATCTGGGTAGGACAGTAGCCAACTTATATGTTCTTCTATTAGTATACTCTAGAGCAGTGGTTCTCAACCTTCCTAAAGCCGTGACCCTTTAATACAGTTCCTCATGTTGTAGTGACCCCCAATTTCATTGTTACAAATTGAACATAATTAAAGCATAGTGATTAATCACAAAAACAATATGTAATTATATATGTGTTTTCCGATGGTCTTAGGCGGCCCCTGTGAAAGGGTCATTCGACCCCCAAAGGGGTCGCGACACACAGGTTGAGAACCACTGGTCTAGAGTGAATACCAGTTTATAAAATATTCCAAGAAACTCCTGGTTTAGTTCCAAAAATATGAAGCAGAAGAGAGTCATGTGGAAATTCTTGTGGGATTTGCTTTGTTGCCCAGAGAAGGGCAAACAGAGTCAACGGGAGAAAAGGTAACAACCCCCTGGCATTCTGGAACTGGACCCTGGCCCTGTGGTCCAGCAACATCTTCTCAGGTCAGAGCTGGCAACTGGGACTATCTGGGTCTCTGTGGTTCCCTCTGGTCACGCTGCAGGTGGGTTGGTGGAGTGAAGTGGGGCCTGGGAGAGGCTCCTGAGGGCCTTTGCCAGGAACAGGTCCTCTGGGGCTGGCCCCCACCAGTGCCTCCCTTGCAGAAGCTCAGCTCACATGCTCCCCAGAGCCCCTGAACCCTGCCTGAGGCTTGGCATGGAGGATGCACTCTAGGGCAGTGGTCGCCAACTGGTGGTCCATGGACCACTGGTGGTCTGTGAGGTCCGAAAGGTTGGTGACCACTGCTCAGTCTAGGCTTCTTGGAGTAAATAGAAACACATTGCTCCCAGATGACCGTTGAGAGCAGGGCAGGGCTACCTAAATATCAGGGTCACTATATTAGCCTCTATTCTCTTTTTTTCTTTTTTGTAATCCTCACCTAATTTATAGAGAGAGGTGAAGCGGCCCTGACGGAGGATGGAACCCGAAACCTGGGTATGTGCCTTGACCGGAAATTGAACCCACAACCTTTTGGTGTATGGGACCACGCTCCCACCAATTGAGCCACCCAGCCAAGAATAGCCTCTATTCTCTGCTTTCTCCATCTCATTCTCCTGCCACTCCTCTCCCTCTACCACCTTCTAGAACTTGGGCTGATTAATGACACTGGTGGTAGGTAGCCTATGGCCTTATCTAACTTCTGCAAAATGGGTATCCAGCTCCTATTTTAGGTAGCAAAACTACAGTGGCTGGTACATTATTATCTCAACCATGGCCCCATAAATGTGGCCCCTATTTCATCAGTGAATCACAGATTTCTAGTAATGATAACACAACATCAAACATGCCTATTATTGGTCAACTACTCTACATGCAGTATACATATCACCTCATTTAACACTATAACATCCCTATAAAATATCCCCATTTTACAGGTGGGAAAACGAGGCTCAGAGAGAGGAAGCCACTTGATCAATATTACACAGCTAATAAGTAGGAATCAAACCCAGGCCTCTCCCAAAACACCAGATTCTGAACTTCCTTTCCTAGAATGTCAGGGTTGGGGAGGAGTTGAAACCCTCTAGTGTGTACCCTCCACCCCTAATTTTATGAAAGACAAGGGAAAAGTCCTAGGAAAGCAATGACTCCATCCATGTAGGCTTTCTGAGGATGTTGAGGGTGGTCATCTCCATATCCTTAGGACCTGGCACAGGGGAGGTGCTTGAATAACTGTGCAGGGATGAATAAACACAGCCATTTAATAGCAGCGCTGGAGTCTTGTGCCCCGGATCTGGCAGTACGGCCACTTCCCCTCAGACTGCCTGCCCTCCACCCCCCATGCCCTGGCATCACACCTGGATGTATGCGTGGTTGGTGGGATGGAACTCCTCCCCCACAGGGTTAGGACACTCGCCCTCACAGCGATAGGCATTGTACTGCTTGGGGTAGATGATCCAGGCGCCCCATCCAATCAGGTTGAAGTCCACCTGGAACTTGACCTTCCGACACAGTTGGCTTCTGTCCGGCAAGTGATGTCTCGGGTGCCTCCTGCCCTTTTCCTGGAAGAGCTGTCCCTCCTGGGCCCGCCAGGAGCTCTCAGCTTCCCACAGCAAGGTGGAGCCACCCAGCCTCCTCTGCTCAGGAGGGAGGTTGGAGTAGAGCAGGAGGAGCACATTGGCGGCAGGCGGTGTGGGAGGCCGCGGCCAGCATTCTCTGGCCAAACTGGACATCTGCTCCCCCAGCTTCCCAGGGTGCTTCAGCCACTTGGAGAGTGGCCTGGTCACCTCCAGGACCATGCTGCCAGAAGAAAAGGTAACCTGGGACAGAGAAACAGTCAACAGTTCCAGCCGAAGACGTTCTGGGCAGCCGGCTGGGTCCCGATCGGCCTCCAGCTTTGGCTGGTGGAAAATCTCGATGGAGAGTGGGACGCCAGGGGGAAGGTCCGCTGGGCTGGCCAGCTGCAGCCGGAGCTCGGCCCACTCCAGGTCCTCCTTTTGGCTCAGGAAGGAGAAGTCAAAAGCAAAGGTCCAGTTCTGCCCATGCACCTCCACATCTGAGTGGGGAAAAACAGGAAGGAGGCAGCGTCAGTGGGGACCTCCCGCGGTCTCAGTCAGTGTAACAACCATAGCTCAAGTCTCAGCTCTACCTCATACGCATCACTTCTCTTAATCCTCACCTTGACCCTGTGAGATGGGCATGATATTGAACCCATTTTAGAGACGAGGAAAATTGAGACTCAGAGAAGTTAAATTATCTGCCCGAGGTGTCATTCGTGGAAAGTGGCAGAGCCAAGAATAAACCTGGGTTTGCCTAACTGAAAAGCCCAAACTCCAAATCACTGTTCTGCCACTCCCCCTGAAGACACTCCAAAGTCAGAGAACAACTGGTAAAAATGGGATGAGTTAGTTTCCACTGAGAGAGAGAGAGAGAGAGAGAGAGAGAGAATCTAAGGCTGAGCTTTAGATCTAAACCCTGAGCTTTCTGACCAAAACCCTGGGCTTCCAACTTGCCCAGTGACCCTGGAGCAATTCACTTCCCAGGCCCCGTTTTCTCGCTGGGAAGGGCGGTCTGTCGCACAGGCACCGTGAAGTTGGTAAGAATATCATGGAAAGGCTCAGAGCTCTCAGGGAGGCACAGGCAACAGAAACCAAAGGCTGGCTGCCGGCTTCCTGGCCAGTTCCTCCAGATGGAGGCAGAGACTTCAGGAGGTTTTGGCAACCTTACAAATAGGCTTCTCAAGGCATTCTAAGCTTGACTTTGCGCTGACCTTGCACTTTCCACCCAGCGGTTTCTCCTCTCTGCCTGCAGGGCACGCTCTCCTACCCCAGTTCATCCAGAGGCCCAGGGCAGACACGGCCAGCACACACAGCCCTATCCCACCCACCCAAGACAACTAAGCCCAAAGCGGATGAAAAGGAACGGGAAGCACATTCCATTTATTTTAGTCCTGAACTAATTTGGTCTGATGTCTCGGAATGCATGGGTTTATAAATTTTCAGGTCCCAAAAAGTGATCTTTAACTTTTTCCAGCCCAGTTGCTTCTTTGTAATAAGAATGCCTTACCCACCTCTGCATCATCAGACCCAGGAAAATTAAGACATTTGAGGGTTTATTGCTAAATAAAAGTCAAAGGTTATTCATTAGAAGTAAAAACTCTTTTGTGCATAGATCCGGGAGGTAGTGATGATCCCATTTATGTCCTTCTGGGCAGACCACATAACAGTTTATTTATTAACATATTTTTATTGATTTCAGAGAGGAAGGGAGAGGGAGAGAGAGCTAGAAACATCAATGATGAGAGAGAATCATTGATTGGCTGCCCCCTGCACACCCCCAACTGGGGATCGGCCCACAACCTAGGCAAGTGCCCTTGACCAGAACTGAACCAGTGACCCTTTAGTCCACAGGCCTACACTCTATCCACTGAGCCAAACCAGCTAGGGCAACAGTTTGTTTTATTATTGTCTCACAGAGTATGCTGGGTCAGACAGTAAGTGAATTTCTCTGGGAAACCCAGCCTGCAATGGGAGGGACAGTTCCAAGGCTCGCCCTCAGGCAGCTCTCCCAGCCCACCCCTAGTCAGGCAGCTCTCCCAGCCCACCCCTAGTCCCTCCGTTTCACTTTATTCCCACTTCCCTCCTCATTAGCACCCGCAGGGGGCAATAACCGGCCCTGGACTAGCAACTCTCCTCAGAGGTGTGGGGAGGAGGCTGACACTACCCGCTGCCCATTGGAGCACCTCCTGGCCACCTGGGGACGAGGTGGGGCCTGTAGCAACTCCAGGCCACAAGCTCCACTATTATCTCAAGTATCTACAAATGGCCCTTTAAGGGAAGGCATTCCAGCTCAGTGGTTAAGAGCAAGGGCCCTGTTTTCTCCAGTGATGGTTCAAATTCTGCCATTTGCTGTTTAACGTTGGGCAGGTTACTATTGGAGGCCTTCTCGGGGCCTCAGTACCCACCGGGATGTTGTGATGACTGAGATCATGTAAAGTCTTTATCTAGCACAACCACCCAAGTGCAACATAGACACTGGCTGTCATCAGCCGCCTTTGCCCAGGTCCACAGTTACAATGAAGGTAGAGAGGGACCTGGACCAGGGACGAAGTCGTCTGTCACTGGGATGGGCGGTGTGTACGGAGGGAGGGCAGGAAATTACTCCTTCCTGCTGGAGGAGCCTGAGACTCCACAACCCCACAGCCAGCCAAGGGCTCCCTTAGATCTGGCTCTGGTTCATCTTAGAATAGGGGTGTCTAATCCTTTGGGGGTCATGGATGCCTGATGAAAGCTCAGTGGAGAGAGTGCCGGGCTGTGGACTGAAGGGTTTGATGGCAGTCAAGGGCATGTACCTCGGTTGCAGGCTCAATCCTGGCCCTGATCGGGGCGCATGTGGAGGTAACCAATCGATGTGTCTCTCTCACATTGATGTTCTCTCTCTAAAAATCGGGAGGAAAATATCCTGGGGTGACGATTAACAATAAATAAATAAATAAATAAATAAAATGTAAAGAAAAGAAAGTTAAGAATGCTTTTCTCAGAAAAAAAAACCTGTATCTCCCACTTATGTAATAAATGCGATTTGGGCTGCCCTCATGCCAAGTGTTTTATAAACACTGTCTGCTTTAAATCAGTGACACACAGATGCAAAGCCTATTTGGTAAGACTGCACCCGACACCCATTTCAGCCGTCCCGGTGTAGCTGACAAAGAAACCCAGAGAGGGAAAAGGCGGGTTTAGGACAACCTTCTGTCTCCCTCCAGACCGGCTGTCCTCACAGCTTCAAAAAATGAAGCGATTCACAACAATGTGCATGTACTTAACGCCACTGTACACTTAAAAGCGGGTAAAATGGTCCATTTTGTTATGTATATTTTACCATACACACACAAATGAGGCAGAAAGAAAGCCAGCTCCCTGCCTTACAAAAGAGGAAACTGGAGAAACCAACTAGAGCCCCAGGGACACCTTGGGAATCGGGAAACAGGGTTTGAGGGGCAAAAACTCAGTTCTCCAGACGCCCAGACTAACAAACTTCCAAACTTCGGGGGAAAGGAGAACTGGAAAAGTGCAGCCCCCCCCCCCCACCCCAAAACACCCGCAGTTTCCTGGCGGCGGAGCCGAGCACTCCAGTAACTTTCAAATTGTCCTGCTCCCCGGGTGTCCCTCGTCTGGCTGGTCCCCAGATGACCCCTCCGGAGAGGGTCACCAGCTGTCTGACCCGAGACTGGGCAGGCCAGGGACCGCAAGGGGCCAGCGGGTGGCCAGTCAGATCAGATTGTCGGATGTGGATTTCGCGGCGGCCCCGGGAGGGCCGTCTAGCCCCGGCCGGCGGCGGGAGGGCCAGCGGCGGGAGGCGCGGGGCGGCCAGAGTCCCGCACACTCCAGGCGCCAGGATGTGGATTGCGCGGGGTGAGGGGACCCGCGGGAAGGGCTCCCTCTGCTCAACACCCACCTGCCCCCCTCCCCCCACCCCGCCCCTCCGCGCCCAGCCCCAGTACACGCTCTACGGTCCTGGAGGGAGAAACTCCCAGGTCACCATGGTCACCGACTCCCCCCTGCCCCCTCCCCCCTCCCAATCTACGCTCTGAACCCGTGTTACCCGGAATGCCAACACCTCCCCAGCCTGGCCTCGAGTACCCAAACCTGCCTCCCTTCTCGACTTGGGGTGTCCCATCTCTAACCCCAGACCTCTGGGGCCTGATGCCTGATGCTACATGTTGGAGACCCGTGTCGAAGCCTGCTCCCATCCGGAGACTCTCAGCGCCGGGCCGGTACCTACTCGCCCTCGCTCTCGAAAAGAAAAAAGTTCGACCAGACAAAATAATTGCAGCAAAACGACCACTTATTGCTTTCCCTGGTTCTGTGCTACGGGTTTCTGCGCGCTGTCACCCAGCCCTCCCCACGCACTTGGCGGGGACGTGCTCCAAGCCCCCTCGACAGGTGCGCAAACGGGGGCGCCTGTATTTCACAAAACAGATGAGAAGTGCACAGTCTGGCTCCCCCTTACGGTGCCGCGCTTGACCCACACAGACCAAGACCCGGAACCCAGAGGGGTCTGTGGGGGACCCACTCCGAGCGCCACAATCCCGCCACCCACCAGCCCTGCGCCCTAGCCAGTGCAGACGTCCAGACACCCCCAGGCCCAGACCCACGCCTCGGGTAGGTCCCCAACCGCGGCACCCCCAGCTCGGGGCCGCAGCCCCACCCTCATCCCCTCCCCGGAGGTGGGGCAGCCTACCTTGCGCCTGCAGGCTGCGGATGATGTCCGCCTGCGGCGGGTCGCGGTAGAGGCTCAGCATATACGCCAGAGGGGACGGCGACGAGGGCTGCCCGCGCGTATGCAGGGGCACCGAGGCTACCGTGGCGGCGCCGGCCAGGAGCAGGGCCCTCCAGACGTGCAGGAGGAGGAAGGGGAGCCGGGGGGCGTGCATGGTGGGCTGGCCGGGCGGGAAGCGGAGCCTGGCCCTTATATCCTGGGTCTTCCTAGCCGCCCAGCCCCGCCCTACCTCCCTGGAGGAAGCTTTAAGATCTTATACACGCCCCCCACACACACCCCGGGGGGTGTCCCCCAGAGAGATCCCCTACTCCGGAGGGCGGGGCCTGAGCCTGGTAGGGAGGAGGCCCACCAAACCCCCCGAGGAACCTAAAGGTCCATGGACCATCTAGTTGGCCAGGTCTGGGCAGCCTGGCACTCTAGGCGTCACTTCCTAGACAGAGCAGGCTTGTCGCCTGCAAACTCCCAGGTCAGAATTGTGGCTTCCCTGCTCTACTCACCTGGGATCCCTGCCCTTTCCTGTCGCTCCAGCCTCCAGATGTTATGTCTGGCTCAACAAGGAGCAGGTAGGGAATGGCGGTGGACCCTGGTCCACCAAAGGGTGTGGACCCACAGGGGTCTGTGATGTTCAGCCCAGCCTGGCCCACGCAGCCTTCCCGGACGCTGTCCAGATGGCCTCTGGAAGCACCCCGGCCTATATCAGGCAGGGCCCATCCGGAGGGTCAGCCTGGGATAAACGGCTGGGTCCTCAGAGTTGCTGGAACAAAGAAGGTGAGCTCCAGACCAAGGCCCAGGGGGTCCTGCTTCGAATTTGTAAGTGCTCTCCTGGGAAAGGCAGAGGGCAGGGGCCACCAGCATGAAGACCGACTTCTCCATCGGAAAAAGGAATGTGTTCAGCTGAAGCTGGACCCGAGCCCAGCTGACCGGTGATCCTGGCCCCTCCGTGCCTGTGGTGGCATCAGGCTCTCCCCTTCACAGGCACACATCGCCGGGTGACCTCAGGAGAACGGTGATGGCCAGGCCTGCAGTCGCTGTCTGCCCTGGCAGATCCCTCAGGAGACCTGGGTTTTAACCGGCACCTCTCACGTCTGGCTCTCGGGGGCCCTGCTTTCCTCATCAGCTCAAGCGAGATCCTTGCCTGGCTCCCCTCCAGGTGCTAAATCAGATCCTGGCTGGAACTGCCTTTAAAGAAATGTAAATCCCTACCCCAGGTCAGGTTTGAACTGCCTTCCTCCACACAGGAGGGGCCCCCTCCCCCATGTCCTTTTCTAGCCAACAAGCACATTAGCAGTCGGTTAGCATTTACTGAAACACTGTGCCACACACACCTTGGTGTCTCTCACAGGTTGCCTCCAGCTCCCTAGAACCACAGGCTCAGCCCCGCGCAGGTGTTAGACAGTGGAAGGAGGCCCAGCAGGCTCCAGCCCTGTGAAGGGCGGAAGCCAGTCCCACCCAGCAGGAAGGGACCTGGCCTAGGGCAGACCTGGGTGGCAGACCTGCGCAGACCCGGACCCGGACAATCTGCTCAGCCAGCCAACAGCTAGCTCCTTAAGGCTGGGGACTGGCGTTTTCATGTGCGCTCCCCACAGTGCGGATCACAGCTGGAACCCAATAAACCTTTGCTAAGTAAATAAGTCAATGGACCGCACTGTGTCTGGACTTGCCTGAAGACAAGTATCACTGGGAGTGTTTGTTAAACTGTTGATTCCTGAGGCCCAGTCCAGACCTTAAGAATTATAATTTGAAGAGAGGGTTTTTTCTACATTTTAGCAAGCACTCCCGTAATCATTTTTTAAAAAAATACATTTTTATTGATTTTAGAGAGGAAGAGGGAGGGATAGAGAGATAGAAACATCCATGAGGAGAGAGAATCATGGATCGGCTGCCTCCTGCACGCCCCCCAAGGCATGTGCCCTCACGGGGAATCAAACCTCCTGTTTCAAAGGTCAACCCTCAACCACTGAGCCACACTGGCCAGGCACCCCTGTGATTCCTATCAGACAACTTTGAGAACCTGGGTGAGCTGGGGTTCTAGTTGTGGTTTGGAAACCACCTCTCCCTGTTCAGTCTCCTCGCGTGTAAAGCATGACTGGGGATACCTCCTTTCATGGAGAGTAAATGAAACAAGTCCTAAAATGCTTTGCAGGCTCCAAAACCTGGTGTATTTGTAAAGCTTTATGCATCTGGATATTAGTGTGGTTGTCACCCAACTTCTCCAGCCTGGAGGCTTGCTGGCTGGGTGCTGTCAGCCCCATCCTCTACATCAGACCCCTCCTCAGAGGCAGAAGGCAACCTAACCCAGGTAATGAATATACCAATAAAAAAGAATGATGGATTGTGTAAGTGCTGTGGGAGCCCCTGACAAGGACATGGGAACCAAGAATGACAACACAGGGGAGGGGCGCATAGCAAGACAGAGGTATGCCTCCCAAAACCCCAGATCTCCCAAATCCCCTCATGTCCTAGAATCCAGGTGGTCCCTGTTTAAATAGGGACATCAGCACAGAGCAGTTTACCCACCAAGATTGGGGAAGGAAGGAAAAGGATGATATATCTACTTCCCATGCTCGACCAGAAGATTCTTGAAATTAAGGCTAAAGCTTTATTCATCTTGTGTCCTTTGCACTATAGCACATAGTAGATGCTCAATAAATGTTTCGGTTAAAATAAATGCTAATCACAATAGTTACTACCTTATTGAGAGAAAATATTTTAATATACAAATAAATAAAGCAAACATATTAGAATATATATAGAATCCCTAAACACACATTGGACTTCCATTTTCAACTCTGTAAGAGCTTGTAAATTATCACTCTTATCCTCACAAGAAAAAGCTGGACAATCTGAAAATCAACAATTTTTTTTGACCCATCAGAGAACAAGAGTTAATATTTATTGAGCCCCTAATGCAATAGACACTTTACTAATCGTTGCATTGATTTTATCATTGTCCCCACTTCAGAGATGAGTAAACAGAGGTTCAGAGGGAACCAGGATACCTTGATCAAGGTCACAAAACTTACAACAGGAAACAGCCAGTATGAGAAGGGAAGGACCACTTGTTAACCAAACCTGTGCTTTTAGCCCTATCCCTTCCCCACAGATGGGAGGAAGACATGTGCCTTGTACTAGGGCTTAAAGAAACAACTCTCAAATAACAGTCCCGCCTTTCCCAGGGTCCAGGAGCCGCAGACAGAGCTCATTCTGATGTGTATTGGCCCAGAGCCACGCTGAGGCCTGAAATTACTCTTTGACCAGCAAGAGTAACTCTGTCGAAGCTCATCCGTCTCTGAACTTTCTCCTGGAAGAACCCGAGTCTCTGTCGCCTCCTCAGGACAGAGGCGAACAGTCATCCTTCTAATTTTTTTTAACGCATTTACTCATCCAGGATGTGTTTCCTACAAGCAGGACCAGAAGTGCCTTCTTCCCAGGAAGGGAATGATGCCTTCTCACTTCCCTGCCCCAGACAGACTGACCCACAGACTCCCTGACCTGGGAGATAACCCTGAGGGCCATCCCAGCTGGCTGGAGGAGGGGGGCAAAGTCCCTCAGAGTTCTCAAATGCTTTCCATCAGGCCACCTTGACATGAGTAGCAATATGTGTCCTGTTTAAGTGCTGGGGCTCTGAGGTCAGGCCGCCAGGAAGCAGAGCCTGGAGCCTCCTCTATTGCTACCTGGGCATATGAGACTAGTCTCTTAGCATCTTGCAGCCTCTGCTTCCCCCACTGTGAAACGGAGATAAAGAATAGTATCTAGTTGACAGGCATGCTGTAAGTAAAAAGTGTGTGTATTCCTTCATTGAATGAACCTGCTTGTCTCATGCGTCTATGACAGGTTAACTCCAAGAGCTAGATTATCAGAGAGTCAAGGCAAGAAGCCATTTCAGTCCTGCAAATATTTAATGAGCATTTCCTATTTACCAGTGTGACCCCGGCTGTCTTCACAAATATGTTAGCCACGTGATCCTCTTCACCCCTCAATAAGGCTCTGTGAGGCACGTAAAGCATTTCAGAGATGGGGAAACTGAGGTGCAGAGAAATTAAATAGCATAAGCTTTGTGAGGGTACAGAGCATCTGCTTTATTGCGCCCTCCAGTGCCTAGCACAGCCCCTGGCACACAGAAACTCAAGTGTTTGTCGAGTGATTGAATGAACTCCATATTCCTGAAGCAGGTTCCCAACACACCTGTGCATTTCACACGCTTCTTCTTCTGCACACAGCCTCCTGCCGGTTCCACTTTATCCCTCTGGGAAACTCCTACTCACCTATCAAGACACAGCTTAAAAGTCATCTCTTCCACAAACCTGTCACTAGCTCCCCAGCAATTTGGTAGAGCCCTCTTTTAAATAAAGCCTGGTAGAGTATTTGCCCAAACTGTCTTCAGTGGCCACCATCAGACTGTAGCTCCCCAGAGACAGGAAGTACTCCTGACTTGTTCCTCTCCAAAGTCCAAGCCCCTGGTTTATAACTGACCATCGCTTGCTGTGAGTCATGGAGGCCGACACCCAGAGCTGAGAGGTACTGGCTAGGCTGGGCACACGCTCTCTGTGATCTACAACCCCCCCTCACAATCCCGTTGTACCCCCAATGCACTCTAGCCCCATGGAAACACCTACCCTTCCCCAAAGTTCAGAGTTGTTCTTCCTTTGCCCAGAATGATTTTGCCCCCTCTTCATTCACACAATCCAGCTCAAGGGTCTCCTCTTCCATGAAGCTTCCTCACGTGGTCTCCCTCCTCCCCATTCAGGCTCTGGTCCCAGCCATTCTTTGTTGATCGGTGGAAGTCCTTGAGCCCCTAGGAGTTTTCCATCAGCAGGCCTGCTGCTGGGCTCCAGTGCTGGCCTTGGTGAATGGAGGTTGCAAAACCATGCCCCCAGCAGTAGTTTGAAAAGTTTTTATGTAAGTTGCCAATAATGAAAATGCTTAAGATTTTGCATAACATCGTTCCCCCCTTATCATTTGAGAAACGGAGAGGTCTAGGCCCTCATTTCAACATGGCCAACGGGCCCTATGGCTGAGCAGTAGCTGCTTCCTTTAGGCAGGGTCTGTTCTCTAAAGTGTGCCACAGTCCCCACCATTCCTTAACTTGTTGTACTCCTTTGCCTGGCCCTAAAGACACATGAGTGTGAGACCCTGCTACATGTGAGAGAAAGA